GACTTACAACCACAATCGAGACCAAAAATTATGTTGCAAAGTGAAACATGTGTTCAGCGCCCCATTTCATGACTTTTCTTGCCACGATTGTTAAGCGAATCATTGCATTTGTTAAACGAGTCACACAGTTGTTAAGTGAATCTGTCTTCCCTATGGATTTTGCTTCTCAGAAGGTCGCAAAAGGGGAATCACGTGACCCGGGGAGCCTGCGTCATAAATATGAGTCCGTGGCCAAGTGGCCGAAATGTGATCGCGTGAGCAAGGGGACACTGCAACGGTCGTAAGTGTGAAACACGGCCCTAAGTCACTTTTTTTAGTGCCTTCGAACTTCGAACAGTCACTGAATGAACCATTGTAATTCGAGGACAACCTGTAAACGTTGCAAAGGTAAACATTGCCACTAAAGGGACCAAACTTTTGTGTTGCACAAATAATGGCAAGTCTAACCGAATGCATGTCCAGAAATTGTCCAGAGCTTATAAAGAATGCTCCCTCCTATTTTTTCCCAGCTGAACTGAGAGAAACTAACTGGCCCAAAGTCACCCAGCTGGCTTGCATGGCTAAAGTGGAACTAGAACTCACCTTCTCCTAGATCCGTGATGACGAACCTATGGCACGCGTGCCCGAGGTGGCACACAGAGCCATCTTTCCAGGCACGCGAGCTGTCGCCCAACTCACCTACAGCTGCACATGTGTGTGCGCCCCAGCTGGTGTTCAGGCCCCCGGTGCGCGTGCGTGCAATTCCGGAGACCCAGCTGCTCTATGGAGCTCTCCTGTGCACGGGTGTGCATTTGCGCATGGGTGCACGAGTTCCTGCATGCAGCGCGCGCATTTGCAGATGGCGTTCACGTGTGTGTGAAAGCTGTCTGCTGTGCGTGCAACTGCACCATCGGCACATACGCATGGCTTTTGCGTGTGCAATGCATGCACGGGGGAGCCATGCGAAAGCTGCATGCGTGTGCAGATGGTGCAATTGTGCACACCGCGCACGGTGGGGCGTGGTATCGAAGCTGGTATCTGGCACTCGGTGAGTAAAAGCTTCGCCACCACTGTCCTAGATATTGACTCAGTCACCCAGCCAGCTTTCATGCCTAAAACGGGACTAGAATTCATTGTCTCCTAGTGATTGGCCCAAAGTCACCCAGACGGCTTTCATGGCTGAGGGAGAGGGGACTAGATAAGAGCCTTGGTGGCGCAGCGGACTAAAGTGCTGTTAAGTAGCACCAGCTGCCTGCACTTACTGCGAGTTCAAATCTCACCAGGCTCAAGGTTGACTCAGCCTTCCGTCCTTCCGAGGTAGGTAAAATGAGGACCCGGATTGTGGGGGCAATAAGCTGACTTTGTATAAAAAAGAACACCGCTTAGGGGGGGGCCGAAAGCCCTACTAAGCAGGTATATACAAAAGGATGAAGGCTATTGCTTAACGCATTGAGAAGGGCGGCATATAAATCGAACCAATAAATAAATAAATAAATGAATCTATCTATCATCTATCTATCTATCTATCTATCTATCTATCTATCTATCTATCTATCATCTCTCTGTCTCTCTCATCTATCTATCTATTATCTGTCTGTCTGTCTTGTCTAACTATCATCTATCTAATAAGAGCCTTGGTGGTGCAGGGGACTAAACTGCTGTTAAAGTAGCACTTAGCTGCCAGCTGCCTGCAATTACTGCGAGTTCAAATCTCACCAGGCTCAAGGTTGACTCAGCCTTCCATCCTTCCAAGGTAGGTAAAATGAGGACCCGGATTGTGGGGGCAATAAACTGACTTTGTATAAAAAAAGAACACCGCTTAGGGGGATCCAAAAGCCCTACTAAGCAGGTATATACAAAAGTATGAAAACTATTGCTTAACGCATTGTAAGCCGCCCTGAGTCTCCGGAGAAGGGCGGCATATAAATCGAACCAATAAATAAATAAAATAAATAGAACTCCAGGTTCCAAGTTTCTAGTCCAGCACCTTCACCACTACAGCAAACTGGTTCTTAGAATGTGGACTTAAAATACAGGAAGTCCCCAGAATTGAGCCCAGAATTACCCTTTGCAGAGTCGCTTTGCAAACCAAACGAGTGGCACTTAATAATTAAATTTAAATTTAACGATAAGTTAATAAATCAATAGATACATTACAGTTGTAAGTCGGGGCAGTCGTTCAGAGGGTTTTGCTACGTGACTGTGTCCAGTTTTATGGTCTATTTTGTGGCGGGGGAGTAGCTGTGGGGAGGTCCATTGTAACGCGGAATGGGACTTTTCGGCTCGGTCTCTTCGCCTTGACTGTTTTGCCTTGAGGTTTTCGCCTCTGGGTTATTAGCCACAAACTTTTCTCCTCGGCTGGCCTCCGCCAGTCTTTCGCCCCGTAACTTCCCTTAGCAACCAGTAGTAAGCCCAGAAAGATACTCTAGAGAAGGTTTGCTTCAGAACAAGGAAGTTTACCAAAAGAAACCGCAGAAAAGGGAACATGAGGTTGCAGAATGGAAATGCAAACAGATGGGAAGAGATGCAAATCGGGAATAAAAGCGACTTTTAAAGAAATGGATTTGGGTCAGAAGTATGAAGCTGGACAGAGAGGCGGTCAGACCATGGGTGATAAGCGGATTAAAGACGAACGGAAGCAGGATAGCAGTGTTGCAATATTTGAGGGGCTGCCACAAAGAGGAGGGGTCTACTTATTCTCCAAAGCACCAGAAGGCAGGACAAGAAGGAATGGATGGAAACTAGTCAAAGAGAGAAGCAACCTGGAATTAAGGAGAAACTTCCTAACAGTGAGAACAATTAACCAGTGGAACAACTTGCCACCAGAAATCATGGATGTTCCATCACTGGAGGCTTTTAAGAAGAAACTGGATGGTAATTTGTCCAGAATGAGATGGGGTCTCCTGGTTGAGCAGGAGGTTGGACTAGAAGACCTCCAAGGTCCCTTCCAACTCTGTTCTGTTCTCCAAAGCACCTGAAGAAACAATGGATGGAAACTGATCAAGGAGAGAAGCAACCTGGAATTAAGGAAAAACTTCCTGACAGAAGAATTAATCAGTGGAACTGCTTGCCTCCAGAAGTTGTAGGTGCTTCATCACTGGAGGTTTTTAAGAAGAAACTGGATGGCCATTTGTCAATTGGTTAATTGTTCTCACTGTCAGAAAATTTCTCCTTACTTCCCGGTTGAATCTCTCCTTGATCAGTTTCCATCCATTGTTCCTTTTCTGGCCTTCAGGTGCTTTCCTCCTCTCTGGGGCAGCCCCTCAAATATTGGAAGATGCTCTCCTGTCTCCCCTGGTCCTTCTCTTCCATAGACCAGCCGTGCCCAGTTCCTGCAACCATTCTTCATATGTTTTAGCCTCCAGTCCCCCCATCATCTTGGTTTCTCTTTTCTGCACTCTTCCTAGAGTCCCAACATCTTTTTTAATAGTGTGGTGACCAAAACTGGATGCAGGACTCTAGGTGTGGCCTTACTAGGGCTTTATAGAGTGGTATTAGTACCTCCCTTGATCTTGATTGAATCCCTCAGTTAATGCAATTTAGGATTGCATTGGCTTTTTTGGCTGCCGCCGCACACAGCTGGCTCCTATTTAGCCGGTTGTCCACTAAGACTCCAAGATCCCTCTCACAGTTCCTGCTATTAAGCCTGGTTTCACCCAGTCTATATGTGTACTGTCATGTATTGATCCGCTTTACGACCGCCAGAATCGTAATTGCCTGTCTCAGGGTCCCTGGCATGGGAGCATCCCGATCCCCAAACTGCCCCCTTCTTTAATCAGCCTGGTGCAGACTTCCTGCCTGCTAGCCAAACTCTGCTCAGTGAGTTTTACTTGCACTCTTGTTTCCGGCTTCTGACCACGAGATCGGATCTCGCTTCTCGAACACCCTGCGGCTTTGGGGTTGGCTAGTTGCAGCTGGGTGGTTGACACTTCATTGAAACCCGGTGCAGAGAAGGCCCTGAGGGGAGGGGCCCCCTGGTCTCTTCCTCTTCTCTGTTGGGGAATGTGTTGACTCAGCCAGGTGGTTCCCCCCTATCTTTCCCAGAGGCCTTTAAACCTGCAGGGTCGCCCAGCAGCCTTTGTTTCAGGGGGAGCCCCTTGCAGAATTCAGCTGGGCACCCAGTTGGCTTTCCTGCCTAAGGCGGGACTAGAACTCTCCATCTCCTGGTGATTGGCCCAAAGTCAACCTAGCTGGCTTTTGTGCCTTAGGGGGGACTACAGGAGGAGAAATGTGGGGGCGTTGGTGCTCTCTGAGGTTGGCTGTTTTCTTGCAGACGTTTCATGACCCAACTAGGGAACATCATCAGTGCTGGAAGGAAGGAAGAAAGGAAGGAAGGAAGGAAGGAAGGAAGGAAGGAAGGAAGAAGGGAGGGAGGGAGGGGAGGAGAAGGAGAAGGAGGAGGAGAAGGAGAAGGAGAAGGAGAAGGAGAAGGAGAAGGAGAAGGAGAAGGAGAAGGAGAAGGAGAAGGAGAAGGAGAAGGAGAAGGAGAAGAACTGTGGTTCCTCCTTCCTGGTGCTCTCTGAGCTTGGCTGTTTTCTTGCAGACATTTCATGACCCAACTAGGGAACATCATCAGTGCTGGAAGGAAAGGAAGGAAGGAAGGAAGGAAGGAAGGAAGGAAGGAAGGAAGGAAGGAAGGAAGGAAAAGGGAGGGAGGAAGGGAAGGAGGGAGGGAGAAGAATTGTGGGGTCCTTGGTGCTCTCTGAGCTTGGCTGTTTTCTTGCAGATGTTTCATGACCCATCTAGATAGCATCATCAGTGCTAGAAGGGAGTGGGGTTTGCAGGGAGGAAGAAGAAGGAGGAAGGAAGAAGAGGAAGAGGAGGATTACGGGGTCCTTGGTGCTCTCTGAGGTTGGTGACTTTCTTGCAGATGCTTCATGACTCAACTAGGTGATATCATTAGTGCTGGAAGGTAGCGACGTTTGTGGTACGGAGTGGGAGGAGAAGGGCTGGGAGGAGGAGGGGAGGAGGAGGAGGAGGGAAAGGGGAAGAGGAGGAGAAGAGGAAGAGAAAGAGAAGGAGAGGAACTGTGGAGTCCTCGGTGCTCTCTGAACTCGGTTGTTTTCTTCTTGACCCAACTAGAGAACATCATCAGAGCTACAAAGGAATGGGGGCTGCTCTCAGGTTTGCACCCCGTTATTGTTGTTGGGATTGTCTGGTTCCTTGATTAGACTGTTGTTGACTGTTTGTCTGAGTTGGTAGTTCCTTGATGGGGCTGTTGTTTACAGCTTTGGTTGTTGGTCTGAAATTAATCTTGGTGTTAATCTCTGGGTGTTTGATAGCTGGTCTGGAGGTGTTTTGGCCTTTTGGTTTCCTTCTTAGCTTGTTGAGGGTCTCTTTTGAATGGCGTGTAAATGTTGTTTACCTCTATGTGCCTGCTGACGGCTGCTTTGTCTGAATGCCAGGCTTCCAGGAATTCTCCGGCATTGGCTTGGTCTCGGATGCTGACAGTTTCCCAGTTGAAACTATGGTGGCATCTGTCCAAGTGTGGTGCAATTAAAGGCCTTTCATCATGTCTTCTGGCTGCTGGTTGGTGTCCATGGATTCCCTCTACCAGTTTTACCTGTTTGTCTTACATAGTGGCTGTCACAATTCTTACACTGTCTGTTCCCAGAGCTCAATGGGACAGTAAGTGGAGAACTCGAGGAAACGTCTGGAGAACATAATGTTCACCTTTGTGGTTGAATGGCACCTTAAGACTCCAAAGATTGCGAGCGCTCCACAAACTGTCTGGTTTGATCAAGGAAAAAAAAATACAAATAATTTTATTTCTCCTTGGAAACCGCTTCTGGACTTTGTGCTTGAGCTGGGGGAAAAAAATGAAACTTTGATTTTGGGTTTTACCGATTAAACAGATGTGTTGTTATAAAAATGGCTAGTTAATATGATTATGTAAAAATAAAATTACTTGTCCATGCCAGTTGCCAAACACCTGAACTTTTACTATGTGACCACAGGGATGCTGGGACGGTCGTAAGTACGAGGATCGGTCACAATTAGCATTTTCAGTATCATTTTAACTTCGAACAGTTGCTAAATGAACGGTTATACGTCAAGGACTATTTGTACAGGCCGGTTGCCAAGCACCTCAATTTTGATCACATGACTACAGGGTTACTGGGATGGTCATAAGTGTGAGGACTGGTGACAAATGCCATTTTCAGTATCAATGTAACTTTGAACGGTTGCTAAACAAATGATTGCAAGTCGAGGACTACTTATGCAGGCCAGTGGCCAAGTATCTGAACTTTAATCATGTCACTATGGAGATACTGGGATGGATGTAAGTGTGAGGACCGGTCATAAGTCACTTTTTTCAATGCCATTGTAACTTTGAATGGCTGTAAGTCGAGGACTAATTGTAGCTTCAAGGGTTGTTTGGCTGTGACTTTAGGAAGAGGGATTGTCCACCGTGCTGTCTGCAAATCTCCCGGGTCTGAAACGCCGAGGTTTCCAGCTGTTGCAGGCTTTTTGCAGCCTCTACCAGGAGGAAAGCCGCTGCAGGGTTTCCAGACCGATGGGAGAAAACTTCTGCTATCACAGCTGAGCCTCGGTTCCTCCTGCGGACTTCCACATGCGGTCAGTGGCGTCACTCATTGAGCAAGCTGGGCTGCCGGTGCCTTTCTGCATGTGGGGTTTATTTTATTTTATTTTATTTCATTTGGTTTGGTTTGGTTTGGTTTGGTTACTTTACTTTACTTTACTTTACTTTACTTTACTTTACTTTACTTCACTTCACTTCACTTCACTTCACTTCACTTCACTTCACTTCATTATTTTAATTTATTTTAGTTTATTATTTGTTTCATTTCAGTTCACTTTATTATTTTAGTTTATTTTACTTTATTATTTGTTTTATTTCAGTTCATTTCATTTTATTATTTTATATTTTAGTTTATTTTACTTTATTATTTTGTTTTATATATATATAATTTGTTTTATTTTATTTTATTTTACTTTATTTATTTTAATTTATTTTATTTAATTTTATTATTTTATTTAATTTTATTATTTAATTTAATTTAATTTTTTAATTTGCAAGAATCTCTCTGCTCCTATGCCGGGCTCACCAAGCCGATGACAGTTCAAAAACAATAATAGATGGTAAATCCTCTTTGAGGGAAATTGGCGGTTAAGAGGTGTGAAATACAGCCGTACGGTGGGGCTCGTCATGATGCAGTCCTCGGCGGCATTAACAGAGTGATACAATCAAGACCCCATGAAGTGTGTTAGTACCGCTTTCTGAGGCCTTGGTAAGGCCACACTTGGAGTATTGCATCCAATTTTGGTCACCGATTAGATTACCGATGAACAGAGTTGGAAGGGACCTTGGAGGTCATCTAGTCCAACCCCCCACCCAAGCAGGAGACCCTGCACCATTTCTGACCGATGGCAGTCCAGTCTCTTCTTGAAAGCCTCCAGTGATGAAGCTCCCACAACTTCTGAAGGCAACTTCTGTTCCATGGGTTGATTGTTCTCCCTGTCAGAAAATTCCTCCTTATTTCCAGGTTGAATCTCTCCTTGATCAGTTTCCATCCATTATTCCTTGTCTGGCCTTCAAAGGTGCTTTGGAGAATAGCTTGACCCCCTTCCTCCTCTCTGTGGAAGCCCCTCAAATATTGGAAGATGCTCTCCTGTCTCCCCTGGTCCTTCTCTTCCCTAGACCAGCCAAGCCCAGTTCCTGCAACCGTTCATCGTATGTTTTAGTCACCATATTATAAAAAAGATGCTGAGACTCTAGAAAGAGTGCAGAGAAGAGCAACCAAGATGATGAGGGGACGGGAGGCGAAAACATACAATGAACGGTTGCAGGAACTGGGCCTGGCTAGTCTAGGGAAGAGAAGGACCAGGGGAGACAGGAGAGCATCTTCCAATATTGGAGGGGCTGCCCCAAAGAAGAGGAGGGGGTCAAATTATTCTCCGAAGCAACCGAAGGCAGGAAAAGAAACAATGGATGGAAACTAATCAAGGAGAGAAGCAACCTGGAATTGAGGAGAAACTTCCTAACAGGGAGGACAATTAACCAGTGGAACTGCTTGCCACCAGAAGTTGTGGGTGCTCCATCACTGGACGTTTTTAAGAAGAGATTGGACCACCATTTGTCTGAAATGGGATAGGGCCGTGATGGCGAACCTATGGCACACGTGCCACAGGTGGCATGCCGAGCCATATCGGTGGGCACGCAAGCATTGCCCTAACTGAGTTCCAGCACAAATGCGCATGCTGGCCAGTTAATTTTTGGGCCTTCTGGGCCCACCGGAAGTCAGGAAACGGGCTATTTCCGGCCTCAGGGAGGGAGGCCATTTTCACCCTTCCCAGGCTCCTAGAAAGCCTCTGGAGCCTGGGGAGGGTGAGAAAAGGGCCCACCGTGCCATCGTGTGCTAAAAGCGGGGGTCGCCCGGGGGGGGAGTGTCGCATGCGCGGGGGGCGGGGCGCATTGAATTATGAGTGTGGGCACGCAAGTGCATCCCCCCCCGCGAGACCCCCACTTTTGGCACGCGACGGCAAAAAGGTTAGCCATCACCAGGATAGGGTCTCCTGCCTGAGCAGGGGGTTGGACTAGAAGACCTCCAAGGTCCCTTCCAACTCTGTTATGCTGTATTCTGGTTCCGGGAGGTGCGATGAGCACCAAAAACAATGAGTACCAAATCAGTTTTTTTTCCTTAAGGAAATAATGTAGTGAGTCACAGAGCAGCTGACACCGACAAATCCTAGCTTGTGCCTTGAATACCAAACAAACCATGATGAATCGGGATGAAGTGTTTGCATCCAAGCGCGTTGCGTATCAAATTTTGATTTCAAAGCAGTTGAGTACCCAGGTACCACTGTATAAATAAATAAATAAATAAATAAATAAATAAATAAATAAATAAATAAATAAATAAATAAATAAATAAATAAATCTATTCTTCATATTTCTTAATAAATAAATAAGTTAGTGACACCTAATCAGATAACAACCAACAAGGATCAAATGCCCAGCGAACCATGGATCACCGGTGAACCATCCGCAGAAGCCATCTCCGGGGTGCGGGCATCGTGGAGTGATCGTCCGAGCAGGACTGTCTTGAGGGTACCAAGTTGGGGAAGACGACGTTTAGAGGCAGTCTGGTCTAGTGGTTAGGGCACCAAGGTAGAAACCAGGAGATGGTAAGTTCTAGTCCCACCTTGGCTGTGAAAGCTGACTGGGTGACTTTGGGCCAATGATCAGGAGAAGGTGAGTTCTAGTCCTGACTTAGCCATGACAGCTGGCTGGGTGACTTTAGACCAATCACCAGGAGACGGGGAGTTCTAGTACTGCCTTAGGCACAAAAACCAGGTAGGTGATTTTGGGCCAATTACCGGGAGACAGTGAGTTCTAGTCCTTCCTTAGCTATGAAAGCCGGCTGGGTGACTTTGGGCGAATTACCAGGCGATGATGAGTTCTAGGCCCACCTTAGCCATGAGAGCTGGCTGGATGACTTTGGGCCAACCGCCAGGAGACAGGGAGTTGTAGCACTGCCTTAGGCACAAAAGCTGGTTAGGTGACTTTGGGTCAATCAGCGGGAGACTGTGAGTTCTAGTCCTGCCTTAGCCATGAAAACCAGCTGGATGACTTTGGGCCAATCACTCTTTCTCTCAGCCCAACCTCGCAGGGCTGTTGTTGCATGGAAAAGAGGAGGAGGAAGATGTGCTTGATATGTTCACTGCCTTGAGTTATTTGCAAAAATAATAACAGTAAACAAACTTTTATTTGCAAAAATAATAACAGTAAATAAACTTTTATTTGCAAAAATAATAATAGTAAACAAACTTTTATTTGCAAAAATAATAACAGTAAACAAACTGTTATTTGCAAAATAATAACAGTAAACAAACTTTTATTTGCAAAAATAATAACAGAAAATGAATTGTTATTTGCAAAAATAATAACAGTAAATAAACTTTTATTTGCAAAAATAATAACAGTAAATGAACTGTTATTTGCAAAAATAATAACAGCAAATAAACTTTAGCCTTGTCGAACCTGGGACTTGGGGAGATGCCTTTGCCTTTTGATCCTGGGGGGGGGGGTTTCCAATCCCCCCACACGCCTCCAGTCCAGCTTCTGCAAGTGTTTGTTTCAAAGGTCACTCTGCTTACCG